TTGAGATGCTGATGTGTACTATTATGTTAGTTCGAGTGTCCCTTACTTAAATAAGGGCACTTATGTCTTTTCCAGTCACATTAATAATAGAATAACAGGTCTGGCCGAAACTAGGGTAGACTTTTTTTCCTATTTTCGAACCAGACCTTTTCTCTTCTCCTTCCTCTTTCTTCCTTCTTCTTTCCTCTCTTCCTTCTTGCTGTTTACTTTACAGCTAACAAACAAAACAGACTTCTAGGGCAGGCTGAACTTTAATAGTAACAATAAAGACAAAAGTTAAAAGGCAAGCAATTGACATAAATAAAGAAGAGAAGATGACTAAAGACCAAAAGGGAGACAAAGAGAAATATCCCTATTACAATTGTTTAGTTTTATCCCATTTGATTTATACAGTTTTTGTTATGTTTTTTCAAGCGATAAATGAGCAATTATATTTCTTCTAATGATTTCTTGAAGGTTTATTAACTAATTTAATGTTTCTATGAAACTTTTCTGATTTTTTAGATTTTCCAAATATCTTAAGGAAATTAGCAATATATCTCTGAAATTTCTCCAACTCTACATGGAAAAATGTTCATTGATATCGATATTACAAACTATGGACTGAATGAGTTACCTACATGAACTTTTCTATTTATAATTTTTTCCAAATCAACCTTCTTTATTTCTTTTGTTCTAACATGGTCAATCATATCTTCATCTTCTTCCTCTAGATTCTTGGAGATTTCCTTCTTTACAGTCTTTCCTTGATGCTTCTGAAGTTGACTTCTCCAGCTTGTCTATTGAAAGCTTTGAGGTCGAATCCATAGGCCTACGATCTAGACTTTTATTAATATGATATGAAGTCACACAGTTGCGAACATCCTTATGTTTACAAACATTATACTTAACTCCCTTCGTCTTATATACTCTTTTAAACTTATTAGATGGGCCTGCCCCATGTAGACCCTCTTTCTACTGGGAAAAAACTTTGGTTATGTGAACAAGATGCAAACTCTTTGTTCCTTTTGATTTTCTCATTGACCCAATGTTTTTGTCCTTTTTTTTCAATAAGCAACACGTTCATTGATTAAAACTTAGAGTGATTACAACAATCTAGGAAACTATCCAGACACCTAAGTTTATCAACAGAAATTACAGTTCAGCCCAAAACAATTGGTCTCTATGCATGCCCTGTTTTTCCATGCAGTCTGCAACTACATTGCTGATCTTCTAACCCATTTGAAGGTAGCTTCCACATCCTTGGCTAAGGACTGTATTTGCCTTAATGTCTGTCTATAAACCCAAGCTCCTGGAATATTGCTGTTGAAACAGTAAATGACAATCTTAGCATATCCTTCAACCTCCAATGGTTTGATTCCAAGATTCATTGCTAATTTCAATCCTTGCAAAAGTGCCATAACTTCAGCTGTGACAGAATCATTTACTTCAATGGGACCTGAAAACAAAACTTTGATATTGCCCATTGAATCTCTAATTACTCCTCCAATTCCTTCTGGTCCAGGGTTGTCTAAGAAATTGCCATCAAAATTCAACTTCAATCTTGGACTTTAAGGTGGTTTCCATTCTATCATAGTCTTGTCCTTCACCTTTGAAGAGATAGCAACTGCTCCCAAGCTCTCAGGATCTAATGCTTTTGTCCCTTTCCCTATAATCTTCATTGTCTTCATTTATGCAAGCACTATCTTCTTGCGACCCAAATCCTTTCCTAATCTTCCAACTTCCTCAATGGACTTTGAGACATTGATCTCCAAGCCATTGATCAAATCAAGCCTACATAACCAGTGACCCCCTCCAGACAACTCTTTAGAGTTTCCATAGTACTATTGCCATCAATTGTCTCTGGTGAAGAATCCATAATCTCAGCTTTAGTTCCTTTGGATTCCTTATGAGTTAGCACCTCAGTCATGTTAGTGGTCTCTCCACAAGGTCATTTCAAAAATTGAGAGACTTCTAGATTGTCATGTTAACAGCTTTTAGAATGCTGATATTGTCAAAGTGCCATTATGTTTAGACTTTTCATATTTCAATCTTCTTTTGGTGTATGGCTGTACATCATTGTATAGAAGAAATTGTTATAGGTCATATGACATTCTGTATATAGGCTATTTTCCTGCTATGCATATTTAATAGAATACTAACTTTACTTTTCAAAAAAAGGTGTAAAACCTGTTAGAATACACAAATCAGGGGTATTTTGGTCATTTGGGTTTTATCTATTTGAGAGTGAAAGGTCTATTTTATTTAAGTTTAAGTTATGTGTTCCATCATTTATGAGGGACAATATGGTCTTTCTTGTAACTATGTTATTGGAGATAAATACAAGTGGGGCGGCTAGAGGTGGACTGATTTTTCCTAATCTGGCCGAACCCTTCTTCTCCTCCTTCTTCTCTTCTTCTTTCTCTTCTTCTTCTCTACTTTAACCTAGAATCGAATAGGGATTTAACATGGTATTGGAGATAAATACATAGGTCTTATTGCTTTGATACCATGTAAAATCCCTATTCGATTCTAGGTTAAAGTAGAGAA